GGCCGACTCATAGAGGACCTCATCTGAGCAGACATCACTTCAGATGCCGTCCACTGGCTTGCAGTTGTGCGGTCGCCTGAGAAGCAATTTCCCCTTGCTTATTCTCCGCTTCCTTCTGTATAGAATAAACGTTTCCTTCCACTCTGGCCTTCGCAAACTTCTCCTCCCACCCTAAGGAACCGGGCCTGAAGGTCACAGTTGCCAGGGTTTAACTTACTTAACCCCCTGTGATGGCTTTACGCGTCCCCTTTATACTCAAACCGATGATGATCGGACAGGTCAACATCTTACAGCTTAGCTTTTTTCTCTCAATTCCCCGTGTCTGTGAGGTCGGCACTTTTGGCGTAACGTAGGTGAGCTTTCTGAACGGATTTCCCATAATAAAACAGAGTGGTTTTAACGATTGTGTACCTATTCAAGCATCGGCAGCAGTGGGTTTTAAGTGGATTGCTAAGTAGATGGTGTGAGCAACAGTCTTTACAGCCGCATCGACTTTGTCTAAGATTTAAGCCTATGATTGATTGCGCACCATTCAAAATTACCCTTCAGTTTAAGGTTTGGATCCATGGTCCTAAGGTTGGGAACTTCAGACATTGGATGAGTAAAATAGTTTAAATGGAAGAATACTATGCTTTAAATAAGTGGTAAAATTGTCTATACATTTGTCACTAACGGGAGAGCTCAGTAGAAGATCCCTAAAAATGGTTGTGAAATAGTATTGTTTCAGCTACCGCCAGTTGCTCGAGGGCAATGCCGCTCCACAGAAACACCAGGACATATGATTTTTCTGCAGCCCGATGCTCTCCTAACTCGTGACGCCACAGGCGAAGTCACTCAGAACATAGGACCTCGCGCAAAGGCAGTTTTCGGCGTGCCTCGGACCAGGCGCAAAAGAATGCACCTTGCGTCCCCGTTCTGACCTCAATCCGCAGTGACTTGACCTCAATTTGTCTGGACACAGACCACAATGCGGTGTCTGGCCCCAGAAATAACTTCGAGCCACGCCGCTCCAGCGGAAGGATGGGCGACCCGACAGTCAAAACTCCTACTACCTATTCTTTAACCCGTCTGTACAGAATGCACTCTTCCTACCATTCTGGCCTTCCCATGACTTCTCTCTTCTCCTGAGGAACCGGACTTGGATATCACAGCCGTTAGGGTTAGACCTTTGTACACCTTAACTCCCCGATAGGCAAATATGACCTCCACTCGGGCTGACAAATAAGTAAGCAGATGAGCCCTGGAGAGTCATTTCGAGCAGTCTTTTTTACTCGGAATCCTTATCACCCCTCGCGTGCAGTTTCCTATTCCCTAACCTTCAAGGATCGTTTAGCGGTTGACTGGACACCTAAGTGAAAAATTTCATTAAGTCTTAAGTTGTCCTTATCTATTTATTATCAATAGAGAATGTCTGACTGCCAGGCAATTGCATTATAAAATTTTTAATTCGATTTTCAGCGAGACTCGAGATCCCAAATTGAGCGCAATCCTAAAGAATTAACTTTGACTGTATTTTTTTCGATTCACTGTCGTCGAACAATCAAAAATCGTACGTCAGTCCTCACAGCAGGATTCCTGCGTCTGAGAAGATACAATGGACTGAAAAGTTTATTCGATGTGCTGCGCCCAGTACCAGAGTTGTGATCTTCAAATCGATCCATCTGTAACGCCGCCGCCGATAAAAACTTAAATGTCGAGTTGACAGAGGGGAACAAGATAGAGTGTAACTAAGCATATTATCCTAGTAGTTAAAGGCGGAAGTAGATGATGCAGGATATTCAAACCGGTAGAAATGTTCAAAAACAGCCTTGACGGACCCACACATTTTTCCTTTTGTCCTTTTATTTACAGTTTTTTCCGTCGGTCGTCTTCCTCGGGCGGGCGATTGGCGCGACTGCCGCTCCGACTCCGCGACCCGGGTCTGATTGATAATCTTGTCCCTCCTCCCAGGCAGTCACAGCACAGACGGCCTTTGCGAAGGTTTGTAGTGATTCGTCAATGCGGTGTAGCATGTTACAGAACTCATGAGCGTGCGCAATATGCTGATGCATTTTTGCCAATAAAATCTGCACAGAGACAACACTCTCCTCAGCATTCGCCAAGAGCTGCCTCTGATCTGTTGGCGACCGTCCTACCAGAAGCTCATTATTTACGAGACCCTCCATGGCTTGTCGGAGGCTCGCGGAACTGACCTTGAATTCCTCCTCAAACCTATCCAATAGATTGCGCATGTTTGTAAGCTTGGGTAGGGCCGTGGGGGTTGCTTGACTGCACGCCGCTGAACAGGACGCGCCACTGCATGCACTCTCGCTTTCGGCCCAGTTGTTGTCGTTCCATTGCTGACGGCAGGCATATTTTGGCGCGGATACGTTACTTGATCTGACACTCAGCATTGCGCAAGATGTTCTCGGTCGCACCACGTTGCTGGGATTGTCAACAAAGTAGCGACCTCTTGGTGCTGGTCGTCGCCCCGTTATCATGCCGTTGGGTAAGGGAGGTAGATATCCAGCGCGTGTGCAGGATGGGGTTCTTTGAGGTGGTCGGCAGGAGTCAAGTGAAACTTTCTTTATTTTGGGTAAAGATTCGGAATACAATTTCCTTCGGTATGTGCAGGAGCGCTCATAAGTAGTGAGCTGCGTTTTATTAGAGGTTCTCGACCTACCCGGTGGCCCATCACCAACAGGTTGAGACCGGTATGTAGGCTGCTTATCCGCTAACTTGATATGATTTAAATCCCAAATTTGCAGGCTATCTACATCGGGAACGTCGCCGACGCCGATTCGATTGGAGCCCCTTCTGGGCTGCGGTTTTATTGAGTCGTCCGGTTTATGGGTTTGTGATCGGTACAATTGTGGACGTATGACAACGTGGCTAGGTTTATTGCCCATCTGAAGTAAGATAGGGATGTCGGGCTTCTGTCATCTCAGCTCCAGATGGGCAGTGCTTGTTGCCGTAGTAGATGACATTTTACCTCCAGTCATTTATCGATTGCTCGACTTTGAAACAGAGGCGACACGTGCACAGCGGTCGACCTAACCATGCAAGGTCGTTCCTATACATTAAGCCGCGTGATATTTGGAGGAGTTTTCTTTTAAAAACGACTGACGAGGCACACCAGGGGTAATGACCATGTTTAAGAATATGAGTTCCTCACACTGGCCAAGGAAAACAGCAAAAATAACAAGTGGGATCCCCCCAGCAGTAATATACAACAGGAACATTTTAGTACCTACTGGAATATGCGTTACAGGACAGGAATTTGGGCATGTCACAGATACAAAACGATTGATAACATTTAATATGCAATCAGGAATGGACGCGCGTGGGATTATTGACTTCCTGGAGCCAACGAAAACCTTGGTTGGCAGTGGTCACGAAGAGGCAACCAACTACGAGGCCGAAGTCGGTCGGATTATTTACCCTTTCGTGAACTTTGGTGTCCATGGGGAGCATGTTTGCTTCGGGGAGTCAATAGACCAAGGTGTAGCTATTCCTGATTGAATAAAAACCCAGGTCTGCAGCGACAGAGAATGACAGGTAGTGAGCCACCGATGACGTTTACGTTTGCAAGTAACACACTCTGGACATAGAGCTACAACGTACGCAAAGAGGGGGGTCTCTTCACGGAGTGTGAATAGCTTCGGAAAATAAGTTAAGATGTTTGATTTTTCGAACTTTAACTCCCCCGCCCCCAAAAAGCCCTGGTCTGCATTAGGTGGCAAACACTATCCCGGTGCGAATTTGGAGGTTAGTAGTCAAAGTTTGTCGTATATTACGGTCATGTGTAGTCCCAATTGCTCATGATATCCCCACACAAATTATCTTCATTCACCCCCCACCCCGACCTCTCCCTTGAACTTGCTGACTGTACCATGTTTTTGAACTCACAGCATCGTTTACGGTAACGCTCTTGAAATCCGACATACCTCCAAAAAAATGAGCGTGGACACATAGAATACCAGCTTTCGACAATAGTGCTGTTCACAAGGATTCGCCACTCGACAAATTGACCACTGACCATGGTATGATGTACAAATTGCGCTGGGCACCACGAGGATACTCAGCTAGTTTGAGCTGTATCACGGTTGGCCCATAAGTTGGCAAAAGACTCATCCTTTCTATGCGAATACGCGAACAGAATGAGGTCGGTAGTGGCAAGGCCATGAACATCTTTTCCATGATATTCGAACCTAGCAGTTGGTTCGCGGCTTTCATTGGGCTACTTCGGGGTGCATCTAGAATCCATAAGGACAAGTGACGCGATCAAGCAGGTCAGATCAACTAAACGCACTTCGGTGAACAAGCCTCTGTGACCACCACAGGCTAATTAATCAGGATAATCCATTCAGTGGGTTCTGGTTAAGCAAGCCACATCGGACCAAAGGTTTTGGTCCGATCAGGCGGTTATCTTTATGGGTCTAAGTACAGGAAAGCGTTCAAATTCATATTTGCCTCTTCTGCCAAGGCAGCAGTATGAGGAGTACAATGCCAAGAATGGTTAGTTTTTGCCCGTCAAGAACTGTTGCCTATATTTTAGTTGTAAAAAAGATAGATACTCGAAATGAAGAGGCACTTGTCTGATGCACCAGTAATTTGTGTCTTCCCTTCTGCAGTAGACCAGTTCAGGCGGTCAATAATTAAAAGTGCCTTGACTCCTTCTTCGTGTGAGCGCATGGAGTGGTCAGGCTGAGTGACGTTAAAAGCAATTTATCGATCGGTTGCTCTCAGCCCGTTCCCCGG